TTTCAAGAACAGCTGTGCTGGAATTATGGCTTGCCCAAGGTCATCCAGCCAGGTGCGAGTGGAGGAGTGGGGAATCAAACCCGGTTTTCCCAGATTAGAGTCCGTGCACTTAACCACTACACCAAACTGGCTCTCAATCCAGTTGTGAATGACTGCCATTGTGAAACAATAAGGCAACATCAGATGGTAGGCGGATGCAGCCTAAGTATATCATTCCACATCATGGCCCAACCACACACCTTGGCTTCTTAGCTAAGCTTTGGGGAAGAAAAAAACCTGTTGTGCAGGGCATGGAATCCTTCCACAAATTAATTACTGACTAGTCTCAAATGTTCCATTATTGAGCAAGGTGATGGTGGCTGGACAACGCCAAGCTTTCTCGGATGAGGTAAATTATTTAGGTCCCTTCCAGTCTGGGTTTAGGCCTGCTTGTGGGACTGAAACAGCCGTGGTGAATCACTTGTGCTGGGAGCTGGACAGAGCAAGTGTGACTCTATTGTTTCTCCTGGACCTTTCAGCTGAGGTCATCTAGAGATTTGGGATGGGCTGTCACTAGGATGTAGATGGCACTCAGCTTTATCTCATGCTTCCAGCTGATCCCAGAGAGGCTATAGAAACTGTGAGCCAGTGCCAGGAGGCAGTTTTGGAAGAAGAAGAAGAAGAAGAAGGAGGAGGAGGAGGAGAGATTGGATTTATACCCCACCCTTCACTCGGAGTCTCATACTGGCTCACAATCTTTTTCCCTTCCTCTCCCCACAACAGACACCCTGTGGGGTGGGTGGGGCTGAGAGAACTCTGACAGACACTGCTCTTTTTCAAGGACAGCTGTGCCAGAGCTTGTGACTGACCCAAGGTCACATCAGCAGGTGCAAGTGGAGGAGCGGGGAATCAAACCTGGTTCTCCGCACATTTAGGAGGAGGAGGAGAGATTGGATTTATACCCCACCCTTCACTCGGAGTCTCATACTGGCTCACAATCTTTTTCCCTTCCTCTCCCCACAACAGACACCCTGTGAGGTGGGTGGGGCTGAGAGAACTCTGACAGAAACTGCTCTTTTTCAAGGACAGCTGTGCCAGAGCTTGTGACTGACCCAAGGTCACATCAGCAGGTGCAAGTGGAGGAGTGGGGAATCAAACCCAGTTCTCCCAGATTAGAATCCATGCTCCTAGTCACTACACCAAACCAGCTCTGGAGTAGATGCAAGTTAATAAACTGACGGCGGAAGACAGGAAGGCCCCTGGCGTGATCTGGTCCATGGGGTCGCGAAGAGTCGGGCTCAACTGTGCGACTAAACCACAACAAATAAACTGAAGTTTAATCCTGACAACATGGAAATGTTACTTGGGGGTGGAAGGTCTGACCCGGGATTTAAGGTGTCACCTGTTCTGGACAGCGTTGCATTCTTCTTGAAGGAACAGGTCTGTGGTCTGCAGGTGCTCTTGGACATAGGCCTATTGCTGGATAAGCAGGTGGCAGCTCTGGTCAAGAGTGCCTTTCACCAGCTTTGACTGGTTAGCCAGCTGCAGTATTTCCTGGGCAGAAACGTTCTGGCTACTGCAATGCAAGCACTAGTAACATCTAAACAGTGGCGTACCAAGGGCAGGGCAGGGGGTGAGGTCTGCCCTTGGTGCAGCTTGAGGAAGTCAGCCAGAGGGCCCTTAAAACCAGTGTCATGCTGCGTCCAGGCAAACATCTTTCGTTTTATTTTTAAAATGCAGTTCTGGCTGCAGCCACTAGGGATACAGGGAAATCTGAGCATAGCAAAAAGCACTCTAGGATTGACTAGACTTCCCTTTCTCCAAGATGGAAGCAAACTTGCTTAACAGCAACTGAGCCAGCACACTAATAGCTGCTATAGTAATTGCTAGCCTGCAGGTCATTTTCTCCTGTAGTCCAGCCTTTCTCTTGTTCTTTCTTTGCACCCAGCTCAGCCAGATCTTGCAAAGCAGTAGTTAGGGTGTTACAGCAAGTAGGGCTGCCAAGCCGCGGCGGGGGATCCGCATGTCTTCACAGGATCCCTGCCGCGGGGAACAGCGATACGCGTTGCACCGCCGTCGCCAAGATGTGACGCTACGCGTCGCTCTGGCAACGGGGCTGTTTGGAGTCCCATTGGCAGAGCGACGCATAGCGTCACATCCTGGCGAAGGCGGTGCAATGCGTATCGCTGTCCCCCGCGGCAGGGATCCTGTGAAGACGTGCGGATCCCCCGTCGCAGCTTGGCAGCCCTAACAGCAAGATAAAACAAACTTTCATTCTCCTAATTTCTCTCCCTCTTTTCCAAACTTTTCTCATTTCTTTCTTTCTTCATTCACCTAATTTTCCCATGACCCCCCCCCCTTTTCACTTCTTGCTCTGAAGACTTTCTCATCCCTATCCTGCTTGGTAACATAATGTATTTAAAGAGTACTACAGTAGCAAACCTTTATTAATATTATGAACAGAAAGCACTAGGTTTGCTGGGCACTGTACACTGCACTAGTTCTGCTGGGCTTCCACCCCCACCCCACTTGGACTGTGATTCTATGCTTGACATTAGTCCTGTTGAGCTGACGTTGCCACAATGGCACTGGGTTCTGCTGGGCACCCTGTGATTGCACTGGTACGGCTAGATACTCTGTACATTGCACTGGTTCTGCTGGGCTTGTAAAAATGCCCCCCCTTCAGTTTCTACTGCAGAGATTCTCTGGTTTGACTTTAGTCCTTTGGAAACAATGGAGGATGGGGGCATCTTCTTTGTGGGGTAGTGTGTTAAAGTGTGGTGAAGCTTATGATCACTATTTTGTGATGCTTTGGCTAGTGTTAGTTAGTAAAAGTTAGTACAAAGGTAGTCTTCTAGCTTAAAAAAAAATCCTTGTAGATGTTTGAGATGGTCAGCTCTTTGGCTTCAAAATGAAGAAGTCCTTCCAAGGGCCTGCTCAGAACACAAGTGGTGTGATGGATTATTTTTTTTTTTTGCCATGAAGTCACAGCTGACTTATGGTGATCCTGTAGGGTTTTCAAGGCAGGAGATGTTCAGAGGTGGTTTACCATTGCCTGCCTGCATGTCAGCTCTGCTTAGCTTCTGAGATCTGATGAGATCAGGCTGTCTTGGGGCTATCCAGGTCAGGGCTAGGCTGAGAACAATGTGACTGGGCCAAGGTCACCCAGCAAGCTTCCATGCCATGAGTGGGGATTTGAACCTGGATTTCCCAGATCCAAGTCTGACACTTTAACCACTACACCACACTGGCTCTCATGATGGAATAGTGTGCTGGAATTGGAATTTTTTACTGATGTGATTATATATACAAAGCTAAACACAAGAAAATTCTTACTGTCTGTTTCTTTTCTGGCCATTATTATTATTCATTTTATTTCATGATTATTACTGAAAATAATTTTGTCATGTTGAAGAGGGGCCCAGACCTGGATAGCCCCAGTTTAGGATAGCCTTGTGAATGATATGCTTTCTTGGGAAGAGATTAGAAGCACATGAAGCTGCCTTGTGTCACATTCCTAGTCTATCTACCACAGTCTCATCAACTCTGCCTGGTGGCAGCTCTCCGGGGACTTGGGGCCAAACTACACATTATTCTTTTTAAAGAGACTCGGGTTCCCTGCAGCTACACAGCAGCTGTGGGGAACAGCTGCTAAAAAGAGAGGAGAGCTCAAACAGGCTCAGAATGGCACCACAGGGGGAAGAAGAGCTCCTGCCCCCCCAGTCATTTTCTCATGCAAAACCTGCATTTGGGGGGGAGTTATTTCCTGTGTTTTGCTGCTCCAATGGAGAAATCAGCCCCAACTCTTTAAAAACAGTAGCATGTAAGTGTGGCTCTCAGGCAGAGGTTTCACTTAGCCCTGCTACTCAAGCTCTTGCCTGACTAGAGCTTTTCCACACCAGATCCAGATTGGCTTTTCCCCAGATCAACATGGGGGAAAGCTCCCTGATCTGGATAACCCAGGCAAGCCTGATCTTGTCAGATCTCGGAAGCAAGTATTTGGATGGGAGACCTCCTTGGAATAGCAGAGGCGGGGGCAGGCTTTATTCAGCCACCTCTCTGAATATCTTCCAGGCCCCCAGGAGGGGTCAGAGGTCGACTTGCAGGTGCACACACAGTCAGTCACCAGAGGTCACCATGATTTCCAGGTGCCCACACTCATGCACATATAACCACCACCACCCCCAAAAAAAAACACCATGGGGGAAACTTTCAGAAAAACTGGGAGAACAAGACCAGCAAATGATAACAGGAAGGGAAAAACCTGTACAATTAAGAGGCTGGGCTGCAGCAAAAACCTGATGCAGAAAAGCCTCTGTAGATGTCAAGGACTGAGCTCAGGATCTTTCTGTATTCTTCCATTGAGCTATACCCCCACCCCATATATAATTTGGGCCAATGTAGATAAGGTGGCTCAGAGGTTAAGATACTGAGCTGCAAACCAGAAGATCCGTCGTTTGGCAGTTTGAGACCCTAGTGCCATGTGATGGAGTGAGCTCCCATCTCTGGCCCCTGCTCCTACCAACCTAGCAGTCTGAAAGCAAGAAATTGCAAGTAGATAAAGAGGTACCGCTTTGGTGGGAAACATCTTTGGACAGCGCTGGCTCTTCAGCTTGGAAATGGAGATGAGCACCGCCCCCTAGAGTCAGATTTGACTAGCTTTCGAGCAAGGGAAACCTTTACCTTTACCTAGATGAGGTAGGGGGGGGTTGGAGGAGGAGATAAATAGAAGTGACTGGAAATACTACTGTGTGGCATTCTATCACTATCTCTTGATACCCGCTGACTGTCCTTTGGCATCATTCCGGGGGAAACAGCAGAAGGAAAGGGGAGACTTTGCAAATGTTTGCTGGATCACAGCCCAATCCTATGCTTATTTATTAGAAATAAATCTATGAATTCAATAATACTTACTTGCAAGTAGCAAGTGTACACAGGATTGCAGACTGTTGTTTTTTTTTTAAAAGACCAATGATAATATCTCTGTTTTCGATCCCATATGTATGTAAATTTCATTGCAGGCAACAATTCATGCTCCTTTTGTTCAGCTGGGACTGAGTCCAGAAGGTTGCTCATCTTACACCTTCCCTAAGATAATGGGACCAGCACAGGTAAGCAGATAAAAACAAAGGTTACAAAAGCTTAGGGCTCTGCCCAAATGATGTGCCTTTGTTGTCACAGGAAGAGAGACAGCCAGTGCAGCATGGTGGTTAAAGTGTTGGACTAGGACCTGGGAGACCCACGTTTGAATCCCCACTCATGCCATGGAAGCTCACTGGGTGACCTGGGGCCAGTCACACACTCTCAGCCCCTACCTCACAGGGTTGTTGTGAGAATCAAATAGAGCAGAAGAGAACAATATCCCCACTGGCTTAAAAGAGGGGTAAATATATCTAAATAACTAAATCATACCATCTTGACTGGGCTGTATTATTATTAGAGCCAGTTTGGTGTGGTGGTTAAGTGCACAGATTCTAATCTAGGAGAACCAGGTTTGATTCCCCACTCCTCCACCTTTACCTCATGGATGACCTTGGGCATGCCATAGTTCTGTCAGAGATGCTCACCTACCTCACAGGTTGTCTGTTTTGGGAAGGGGGAGGGAAAGGGGTTTGTAAGCCACTCTGAGACTCTGAGTGAAGGGCGGGGTATAAATGCAATCTCTTCTTCTTCTTATATATGCCCCACTCAAAAAAATTGAAATGCAAGCCATACCTATATTGTATGTGCCTTTTATAATGCAGTCCCTTTACAAAATGTAAATGTAAATCTGGCATGAATTTGGTCTGCACGTGAGCCTGGTTCATACATGCATGTGCCTCACTTGATTTTTGCTACTCTGGAATACTGAACATTTAAGGACTTGTATCTGGATGTATGAACTGATTCACCTGAAAAGCATAACATTAGAAAATTATACAGCTCTACCTGTAGTGTTGTAATTGTGATGTGATTCACACCAACAAGCCATCACTTGATAGCCAGTCACGGCATGACGAAAAAGCATGCATCAATGAGCCACTGAAAGAGTTTTTAGCAGGGAAAAATAGAGTGGTTGGACGTGAGCTGAGTATGATGTAAACTGAATTTGATCAGAAATAGCATGGGGCTTGCTAAACAGGAACGGATTACAGGATGTCGTATGGATTGGGTGATTTTCTTGTGCTCTTCTAACCTCAAGGTATGATCTCATACAGACCACAGACTAAAGTGATTCAGTCATCCTTAGTGTATCTTCAAATATCTGTGGAAGCATTGGTAGAGGAACACCATTAACATTTCAATCCTATTGTGGTGAAAAATCCCACGGGCCTGTGCTTACCTGTGTTGGTTCTCCTGGAAGAGAGAGCACTGGAATGACCATCTTTGTGGTACTTGCTTTATTTTCAAATATACAAGTAGAGCACTGGTAGAAGCAAAGAGACACTCCTACAGGGCAGCAGATCCACAGCCCTTTCCAGATCGCCACGGAGAAAGAGAGGCCCCACAGCTCCAAGAGCCTTCAGCCAGCTCCAGCAGTGGCTGTCCACCCATCAATCTTCTCTCTCTCTCTCTGAAATCAACCCCCCTTACATTTTCCTTTCACACAGACCCATCAGCTTCCCTTTTCCCTGCTCCAGCTAGGCCAAAAGCCCAACTCTTCTAACTCAGATGGGGGTTTGGTCAGAGCTGTCTATAGAAATAATTAAGGACCATCAAGAAGATCTCCACAGCCACTGAGACACAATACATTTCTGTAGGATGAACTGAGCCACAGTGATCAGATTCCAAGATAAAATGCTACACGCAGATACTTGAGAGTCATTCCCATTGAAATCAGATTGCACATGTATCAGCTCCTCTTGAGAGCCAATTTGATGCAGTGGTTAGGAGCGTGGACTCTAATCTGGGAGAAGCGGGTTTGATTCCCCATTCCTCCACATGCAGCTGCTGGCATGATCTTGGGCCAGTCACAGTTCTCTCAGAGTTTTTCTGGAGAGAGCAGTTCTCTCAGAGCTCTTTCAGCCCCACCTACCTCACAGGGTGTCTGTTCTGGGGAGAGGAAGGGGAAGAAGATTGTAAACCGCTGTGAGACTCCTTTCGGTAGTGAAGGACGGGGTATAAATCCAATCTCCTTCTCCTTCTCCACCTCCTCCTCCTCCTCCTTGTCTGAGCTGGATCTGTACTGACTGTATTCCACCCACCCCCATGAAAAGACTCACCTGGAGGCTTGCATCCTTAGCCTGAAGTCACTTCTTGCTCAGCTGAGCCCCAATACAGAAGTGAACTTGGCCAGAAGAAAAGCACCTGGTAAGAGGAATTATGAGAAGGGGAGTGGTGGCAGTGCCCCTCACCTGTACATCCCTTTTGCTCTTTAAACTAGATCCCCCACGACTGTCTTGTGTGTATTTAGGGTTGCTCTGTGTTGCAAAACATAGGTCAGCCATCATCCCATGTAGCTTTGGCCAGAGTTTCTTCCTATCACAATGGAAACTGTGAAGTCTTACGCTTTAGTTTCCCTCTCCTTCTACAGCCAGAACTCTAAATTCAAGTCATCTCACTTTCCTGTAATTTAAACATTTGTCTGTAAATTGTACAAAGAACTGCTCTATTTTTGTGCAGCAGATTTTTGGTGTTTTTTTTTTTTTTAAAAAACGTCTTGTACATTTTGCAGTAGCAGGATGGACTAGGGAATTCTATGTTAAAGACATCTAATTATATGTGTGAAAAGTAATTGAAAGACTTGTCTCAGCCTGGCAATGCAAAATATTTGAACTCTGTCCCTAACAGTATGTTTCCCCTTTCATCATCTTGATTATTCTTTTTTAAGCCTGCCAGATTGGATTTTCTGAGGTTCATATAACAATCCCCACAGCTTGTGGCTTGGAAAGATCAGATTCATGATTCTGATACTCATGAGCTCCCTTATATCTGCATGTTCTGACAAGAGGAAGAAAATTGATACATGGCCCAAACTTATTGCATAGGAGGTTTTTCTTTATCCATGCGGTAAGCAACAGGGATTGTTGGAAGCGGGAGAATGTCTGCTAGATCATCGTAGATCAGCCTCTAGCTTTTCTGACTCCAACTGTGGCTAGTCAAATACCCCACAATGCTCACAAATAGCCTGTAAGCTATAGTGGTCAGGATAGATTGAATCCAACCAGCTTTCCTGATGGCCAACAGGGAAGGAGGGGTTCTCTTTGATCACCAAAAGAAAAAGAAAAAAAATCTACTCTACAGATCACAGGACTTGCAAGTACAAAAGCCAGGGGCTGTAGTAGGGACTGGAGATGGGTGAGATTCCTTGAAAAAGCTGCCTGGATCCAACCATAAGAATGAGGAGATCCAGATTCATTTGATCACTAGGTGACCCGGGGCCAATCATATGTTCTCACTCAGTCTAGGGTTTCCAGGTCCCTCCTGGCAACTGGCAGGGGATGGGGGGACTCACCAGGAGCTGGAGAGAAGCCCAGGCGACGTCACCAACAGTGTGGTGACATCACTTCTGGAGTGTACTGGAAGTGACGTCATCATGCTGGGGCATCCCGGTGGCGCTCTGGCATATGGGCAAGAATTCTATGATAGAGCTTCTACCATAGAGCTTTTGCCCAAATACCAGAGTATCACCAGATGTCGCAAATATGATGATGTCACTTCTGGTACATGCTGAAAGTGACATCGCCAAGGCTTTTTTTTTCCTGGCGGAATGTGCCGGAACAGAGTTCTGGAACCTCTTCGACAAAATTCTTTTAACAATGTTTAAAAGTCCATGAGTGTTTGGTACACAGATTGAAAACTTCATTGCCCTCTTGAGCGTTCCAGCACCTCTTTTTTCACACACAAAAGAGAGAGAGAGAGAGAGAGAGAGAGAGAGCCCTGGACGTTACCATGTTGCCAGTGATGTAGCCTGGGCCTCCCTCCTGGTTCTGGTAAGCCCCCCACCGGCCAGCTGATTGGCAGCAAGGAGCAGGGCCCAGAGGTAGGGGATTCCCTGCCTCCAGTTGGGGGGCTGGCAACCCTATCCCTGTCTAAACTACTTCATAGAGTTGTTATGACGATGAGACAGAAAAAAGCTATGTACTTGATTTCTGTGGAGGAAGGGCATGATGGAAATGTAACAGATGGAACTGGGGCACAGTGGAGCTCTCCAGTGTCCAGCACCTGCCAGCAGTGTTCCCTCTAAGCTGAATAGGTGTGAGCTAGCTCACAGGTTTTTTACCCTCTGGCTCACACCTTAGCTCAGGAAGGATGGCTCCAGAGCAAACTCATTTATGCAGTAGCCAAATCGCTCGGTCACAACTTTAATGCCAGTAGCTCACAGAGCAGAATTTTTACTCACAAGACTCCACAGCTTACAGGGAGCATTGCCTGCCAGTCATCAGAGGCATATGGCCTCTCACTCTGGAGATCCGTGTATTAGTTTTACCATGGCTGCTGCAAAGCCACCCACTTGTCTCAACCATTGAAAAAGCCATCAAAGTTTAATGTCAAGCATCACATGGTGGCTGTGAATTTTATACGTTAATTATGTCTTGTGTGAAGAAGCACTTCCTTTTTATTTATCCTGAAATTAATGCCAGTCAATTTCATTGCAGGGCTTCGAGAACGGAGAAGGAGTCACTTCTCTCTAGCCCCCATTCATGAACCTCTATCACATACCCTCATGGCATATTTTCCCCCCATAAACGAAAGGTGCTAAAGCACTCATTCAGAGATGATACTCCACCCTTCTCTCGGTCGCTTGAGTTTCTCTTTTGTACGTCATCTCCTTTTCTACACTTTTTTTTAAATTGGGGGAATCAGAACCATGCATAGTATTTAAATGTGGAAAAAACACTCCATGTGCAATCATGGCATTTTAGCCCTGTGCAGGCGACCTGTCCATGAGCTGACTCACCGCACAGAAAGGGAGAGCAGATGCAAGCATACTGGCCCTACCCCCTGCCACAGCACAATCACCGAGTCATCTGTGTGGTGCAAATGCATGAGGACATGCTGGCGTGTACCCTCCTCCCTGTGATCAGTGACACTGCATCCCAACATCATTGATCATGGGAAGGGGGCATGCGCTTGAGCGCTTCCTACAAATATGTTGTCAAAGGAACCTTGACACAGAGACTGTTTCACACAAGAGCTGCGCTGCAGTCACGCCTCCCTTTGCCCCACTTCTATTGGTCAATTTCCCACTTGAAGACGCGTGGCTGCATTTTGACCCGCGGCTTTGCCCCATTTTCCCCGTGGTTTCGTGATCCTGGGGTTTTTGTGTGTTTTTTTCATCCCCCTGGGGGAGGTTTTTATTGATTTTTTTTTCAGACTACAAAACTACAACAGAAAATATGGGAAGGGAACTACATCTAGGGAAAAAAGAAAAAAGACCCACAACTAACTAAAAACCCAAGAGTAGAAGATCAATACATCAGCGTAACACCATGCTATTTTAAAAAAACTACTAATAATACAATGAACTTAGTCAGTTATGCTGGATTAATTATCGTTTAACCATTCCTTTAACTGTTTAAAGAAATTCCCAGAGCATCCCCAAATTATTTCAACATTTTTTCAGGCACAAATCAGAGTCCTTCAGCCCTTATTTATTCTTATTATAGTTCTTTCTCTTCTGTCTTATATCAAATGGAATGTCTTTTAAAATTCTGATATTATTGCCCGCAATTTTCAAGGGTGTTCCCGAAGTTGCTTTCAAAATAGCATCTCTCAAATGTCTCTTCGAGAATCTGACCACTATTTCCCCAGGCCGATTATTTTTCTTGATTTACGATGAATAGGACCTGTAGACCACATCCATCTCGCTGCAAAGGTATTCCGCTGTTAAATCTGTCACTGGGGCTATTGCTTCACTCAACCGTTGCTTCAGATTCTCTCCTTCAATTTCTGGGACCCCTTGAAACCATAGGACCAAATTTGCTTTATCCATTTGTAGCTGTAAAAGCTTTGACTCTTCCGTAGCTTGCTTCATTTCCAGGTTTTGCACCTTTTTCTTAACTTTTTTAGTAGTGACGTCCATTTCCTTCACCTTCTCTCCCATTTGCTCTGTTGCTTTTAAGGATTGAGTCAGTTGCATCTGCTGCACTGCCAAACTCTGCCCAATTGTTGCCAGTTGTTGTTTAATGCCAGTGATCTCGTCCAGAAGGGGGCGCACGAAGTCAGCCAAGAGTTTTGAGAGCTCAGTGACCTCATCCATTTGAGGACTGCCCCCTAGTTTCAATTTTGGAAGTGCCCCCTGCACCCAAAATGAGGTTTGGACCCCCACACCTCATATACCCCCGTCTTCAGCAGACCCTCCCCTTTGAGGGGACACATTCTGTGTCCTGGTCCAAAGCGCGGTTGGGGGGCAGACTGGCTCCAGTGTCTGCCTGTGTGATTGTCCTAGGGGCACTGCACTTTGGAGCAGCTGGCACCAGAACCACGCTTTGGACCAGGACACAGAATGCGTCCCCTCGAAGCGGAGGGTCCGCTGAAGACGGGGGTGTATGAGGTGTGGGGGTCCTAACCTCATTTTGGGTGCAGGGGGCACTTCCTTTTTCAAATGTCCTTTGAAATACAGGCCTCGGGGAAGCCCTGCGAACTGAAGCTGGTGGCGTCAGAACCGGTGTTTGGACCGGCCGTCACTGCATGTCATCTTGCAGGGCCCAGTCCCCAGAGCGTGGGGATGTGTCATTTGGGGTGGTCCAAAGATTATTTTGGGGTGCAGCCTGGCTCCAGTGTCTGCTTGTGTGATTGTCCTAGGGGCAGTGCACTTTGGAGCAGCTGGCACGAGAACCGTGCTTTGGACCAGCACACAGAATGTGTCCCCTCGTAGGGGAGAGTCCTGTGAATGTGGAGGTATATGATATGTGGTGATCCAGACCTTATTTTGGGGTTCAGAGCTTTCCAACTCACTCTCCCTAGTGAATAAGTAACGAATAAGGAACTAATAAGGAAGTGCGAATAAGGAATGAACTTCAGCCTCCTGGGCTGTGTGTATATAAATGAAGCAGGCCACACCTTATTTTTACTGAATCTTTGTTTTTGTTCTTTTTATTTAGGCAAATGAGATGCTTCTTTTCAATAAGAAAATTATGGCAGATGAAGCATGTACCAAGGGACTTGTGACTGAAGTTTTTGCTGACAGTACTTTTCAGGGAGAAGTTTGGACAAGGCTGAAAGCATATGCAAATCTTCCTAAAAATGTATGTAATAACTATCCATGGTAAAATACTGCACACGCATCATTAATGATTACTGTTAGGCATATATTACCGGAAAAGTATGCACTTCTTCTGTCACCAGTACCTAGTGAAAATAGGTAGATGATAGATAGACAGATAGACAGATAGATAGACGGATAGACAGATAGACAGATAGACAGATAGACAGATAGACAGATAGACAGATAGACAGATAGATAGATAGATGAGATGCCATTACATACTTTCTCAAGTGAGCCGCAACAGGAGAGCAAAGTGTCAGTGGCATGTGTGAATTTGGTTTAAATCTTATGTGTAGAAAATGTCTTGGACAGAAGTAGTTCAAAATAGGGTTTCCAGTTGTTTGGAGGGGAAATTGTCCTATCCCTTTGGTGATGGAAAGTGCCATCAAGTCACAGCTGGTCTATGGTGACCCCGTGGAGTTTTTGAAGGTAAGAGATATCCAGAGATGGTTTGCCATTGCCTGCCTCCATGTCACAGCTCTGGTATTCCTTGGAGGTCTCCCATCCAAATACCAACCAAGGCTGACCTTGCTTAGCTTCCAAAAATCTGATGAGATTGGGCTAGCCTGGGCTATCCAGGTCAGGGCTTTAATAGAGGCTTAATTGGATATTATTTACAAGGTGACATTATTTACTTCCATGCCATGAAATACTTCAGTTGCTCACCTCCACTCATGAATTATTTATTAAAAGAAACAGGATGTTATGCAATCCTAGCCCGCCCCCCAAGGGAAAGCCTAGGGTTCTCTTAAAGGGGCAATTCACAGGAATCCAGCTTTAGAATAACTATGGGCACCATGAAACAAAGGTCTACAACTGCAAGTTATAGAACCATTTAAATCTACCCGGTCCAACAGCTCTTGGATCTGTTGGAGGGAGGGGGACATTTTAACTTGAGTTGTATACAGTCCAACTATATTTGCTCGGAAGCAAATCCCACTGAGCTCCTACTTCTTAATAACAAGGAAGGAAGGAAGGAAGGAAGGAAGGAAGGAAGGAAGGAAGGAAGGAAGGAAGGAAGGAAGGTTTAGGATCTCAGCCTTAGATGCCTGTCTTCCATGCCTGAACAAGGCACCCTTGATTGGTCTTGGGGATTACAGCGTAACGTAGGTGGTTCAGACTGTAAAGGTTGTGTACAGCATCGTGTATCCTTCTGCTCAGGCAGCTGAGGGTTGGTGGCACATTGTGCTCTGTTAGACCACCGTTTAAAGTCAAGCTAACATGTTCTGCAACTTCTAAGCAGTCTTTAAAACCAGCTTCGTGTACACCTTAGGTCAGTATCTATTTCTTGAGGTTACCAAAGCATGAATTACAGTCGCTTATTGCTCACTTGTCTTAAAAAGCAGTTTTCTAATGTTTAAGAGCTCTTTATGGCACAGTAAAATTCATAATAAAGGAGCTGTGGTGGCTCAAGTGGTTAAGCCGCTGAACTGCAGGCTGTGGAAGGTCAGTAGTTCAGCAGTTCGAGGCCCGGGTGCCGCATGACGGAGTGAGCTCCCATCTTTAGTTCCAGCTCCTGCCAACCTAAGCAGTTCGAAAGCAAGAAATTGCAAGTAGATAAATAGGGACCACTTCAGTGGGAAGGTAACAGCGTTCCGTGCGCCTTGGTGTTTAGTCATGCCGGTCACATGACCACGGAAACGTCTTTGGACAGCGCTGGCTCTTTGGCTTTGAAACGGAGATGAGCACCACAACCCTAGAGTCGGATTCGACTGGTTTTCAAGCAAGGGAACCTCTACCTTTTACTAAAATTCATAATGCTTATACAACAAAATGGTATCTTAAACCTAATTAAAAGCTTGGTTACTCACTATACTCTCAAAAATCGAGGACTGTCACGGCCATAATTCCTGAAACATATTATAGATACTATCCAGTATTCTGCTTTGACTTCCATTCTCTTTAAATTTTATAAGAAGAATCCACCAAGAGGATAGTATTGCAGTCACCCAAGTAAAGTATAATAATAAATCATCTATAATATTTTTCACAAAATGCATAGCATTGACCTGTTGCCAGAGCTGCTGAGACCCAGTACAAACACCTAGAAAAACATTATTTTGCCCCCACATGTTTAAATAAAGGTGAGGGGGGGGACAGAAGTATTTTCCCATGCTTAATAGGACAGAAAGCCTCTCTAGGAATCTGTAATCACTCACTTTAACCCTTCACATAACTGGAAAACCCAGTAAGTGCTCTCTTGATGCACAAGAGCACTTGATCTCATTTCAAGTTAAACAAAATCTTCAAATGAGTAATTAGAAATTCCTAGAGAGGCTTCCTGCTGTTGCTGAAGCCCTGAGATTAGAGACATTGTGCCGATGAGAGCAAAATGAAGTACATGGACTTTGCAAAATGAAGTACATTGACTCTCCCTCCCAGCTCAAGTTTGGGAATTTTGTTCCCCTAGTCTTTCTCTCCCCTGCTCTCAGCAGCCCTGCATGTTGCTCTATCAAACATATTATACTAGTTGACACCTAAAATATCATAAATAGGGTTATGACAGATGAAAAATAATGAACTAGCGCAAGTGTCCTCAGCCTTTTTTAGCCTGAGGGCACCTTTGGGAATCTGACACAGTGTGGTGAGCAGAACTACAGAAAAAGCTGCCACGGGAGGTAGAGCCAACCACAAAATGGTTGTTGCAGCTCACATTCAGTCACAGAGTTAAGATTCTTGTGCTGTGGTGGCAGCTGCTGACAAAGACACATTTAAAAAAATCAGCACAGCCAATCAAACCACTAATGGCCAATCAGAAACCTTGCTGGGCAAAAGCCCCACCTGGCTCCACCCACTTTCTACAAATACTTAGCAGGCAACACGAAAAGTGTTGGCAGGTCCCATGATGCCCACAGACACGTTGGCGATCTCTGACCTAATGCATCAATTTTGAAAGCAGGGAAAAAATCATTCAGAAACTACCATATTGCTCCCATTCACCAACTGGTCTTGTGCAGGGAAATCTACTGGTGACATCTGCAGCGGATCATGTTCTTTGTAGAGATTTAAAATGCGTGGGTTTGCCTCCACTAAAATCTGGGTCAGGACAGATCTTCAAGGACATCTTATGGAATCCATAAAGGTCTGCAAAGGTGTTAAGCAGGGCTGTATCTTGGCACCCTTTTTATTTAACTTTTTAATAAACGATCTGCATGAACATCTAAATTGCCCTGAAGTGCATGCCCCCAATATTGCGGAGAAACATATTCCCCTACTATTATATGTGGATAATATCTAGGACTCCCACTGGGCTTAGACGAGCTATGCAAATTTTAGCTTGGTACTGTCAGTCTAACCATGTGAAAATTAACTATCAGAGATCGAAGGTTCTAGCGTTTGCTAATAGCCCAAAACTACACCAGTGGAAAATTAATTCAGTAGACATCGAGCAAGTTCATGGCTTTAAATATTTAGGAATAGTTTTCCAATCCTCAGGTTCCAGGAAGGCGCATGTGGATTATATTACTACAAGTGCAACTAAAAGTGCGAGCGCAATTGAGAAATTTTATTGGAACCTGGGAGGTCAGAACGCAACGACAGCAGTTAAGATTTTTAAGGCCAAACCTCTTGCTTAATTATCGTATGGGGCTCCTTTGAATAGATCCCCCCACCAATCTCATTGGTAAGCTTTAGAAACAGTTCAATCCAAGTTTTAAAGACATATTTTACAAGTCCCCCCTGGTGTCTCTAATTCTTTGATCCATCTGGAAACTGGCATGGTTACTTTAAAGGCTTGTCTGTGGATTACTATTATTTTGTGTTAGCTCAAATTAGTGTCTAAATCCACTGGTTTGGCAAGCTTAATTCTGAGGGATTCCACAGCACCATTTTGGGTTAAAGAAACAAGAGCTCAAATTGGGCTTTTATGGTCTCTCTAAACAGTTTTTGATGCAAATAAACTATAATTCCATCAAACTATTTTTAAAACAAAGAATTTTGATTATTGAGAGACAGCATGATCGATCGCAGATTAAATGCTATCTTCCAGGCATGGAGAAATTAAATCAAGTTGTAATGATGCCATACCTTCAGAATCTCGATAAAGCTGACTATAGAAGAGCATGATTTTATTGTTTTATGGATTTTATGCATGGGCTGTCGCCCCCTGTAAGCCGCCCTGAGCCCGCGTGCGGGGAGGGCGGGGTAAAAATACTTAAATAAATAAATAAACTAATAAATTTACTCTTATGAGAGTGGATATGCTGCCCTCAGCGGTTACAGAGGGCAAATACAGAAAGCACCCATATGATGAAAGACTGTGCAGGGAGAGTAAGATAGAGACAGAGGAACATGTACTACTTGAGTGTAAAATTTATCAGAATATCAAACTGTCTATATATCAACGATTTGTAGCCAGTTCCCAGGGAGGGATTCCAGATTTTATTTAGAAAAGCTTTTAGGGGGTGCTGTGGCTCAGAGGTTAAGACGCTGAGCTGTAGACCAGAAGATCTGTAGTTTGGCAGTTTGAGCCCTTAGTGCCATGTGATGGAGTGAGCTCCTGTCTCTGGTCCCAGCTCCTGCCAACCTAGCAGTTCAAAAGCAAGAAACTGCAAGTTGATAAATAGGTACCGCTTTGGTGGGAAGGTAACAGCGTTCCGTGCACTTTGGCGTTTAGTCATGCTGGCCACATGACCACGGAAATGTCTTTGGACAGTACTGGCTCTTCGGCTTGGAAACAGAGATGAACACCGCCCCCTAGAGTCAGATTCAACTGGCTTTCAAGCAAGGGAAACCTTTACCTTTACTTTAGCTGATAGGGACCAAGAAATTTCTTTAAAAGTGGCGACATTTACTATTCAAGCTATAAGACTCTGGAGAAAGCGGCTAAACAAAAATATCTAATAATTTTACTAATTTTGGGTCTAAAATTTTAGATTTGGTATTGGAATTTGTATATCCAGGTTCTAAGCTGTATCTGCTTTGAACTGTATATTTTGATATTTGGTCACATTTGGTCACATTTGGATGTATTATAGATTAGTTATGAAATGTTATTTGCTGGGGTTTTGACCGTAATAAACAAATTGATTGATTGAATAATTTTCCCATTTCCTTTTTAACCCAGTCTCTAGCCACCTCTAAACAGTTAATGAGAAGTATGGACAAAGAAATCCTGCATGCAGTCAGTTTGCAAGAGAGTAAGCTGATTGCGAAAAAAATCTTTTCAGATGAGTGCAACAATGGCCTTCAAAGCTTCTTCCAGAAGGGGTCAAAATTGTGAAATTGACCAGAAACACTTTTCTATTCCCATCACTGAATTTACATTTGTATTTACACTCTGCATGAATTTTCAGCCTTTTTGTATGTGTTGTGTATGTGGTAGGATGTCCTGATCACCAAGTGAGCCAGTGTGGTGTAGTGGTTAGGAGTGCAGACTCTAATCTGGGAGAACCTGGTTTGTTTCCCCACTCCTCCACATGCAGCTGCTGGTGTGACCTTGGGTCAGTCACAGGTTCTCTTAGAGCTGTTCTCTCAAGGGCAGTTCTCGAGAAAGCTCTCTCAGCCCCACCTACTTCACAAGGTGTCTGTTGTGGGGAGGGGAAGGGAAAGGGATTGTAAACCACTCTGAGACTCCTTCGGGTAGTGAAGGGTGGGGTATAAATCCAATCTCCTCCTCCCTCTGCAGCACTGAGTCCTTGCAACGAACAAGAGAATTTGGTTTATAAATCCAGTAGTGTAAATAGCTCATACATATTAGGATGAGAGGCCTTCAGATTATTGTTCTGTTTAAATGCCAAGTGGGTGGTTGAGGAATAAGGTAAGAGTTTCTGTATACTTGAAGACTTTCCAGGTATGTGGAGAAATATTACTTTGTAAATGTTTTAACAAAGAAAAATAAAAATAGCTTGAGCACGCTCCACCAAGCACAGAAACTTGTTGGCTGTTGAGCATTAATAAAAGGATTAAAAAGATAAAATATAGGGAGGAGAAGGAAATTGACCTGCTCAAGATTGTAATTTCCTGAAACGGAAGTTAGAGTTAAAGATAGGGTTGCCAGGTCTCCTCGCCATCATGGCAGGGGGATGGGGGGTATTCTGGGGGTGGGTGTGACATTGCGTGCAATACCCCCAATGTGATGACGTCACCTGGAAGTGACATCATCGCACTGGCGATGTCATACATGATACTCTGGTTTGGAGGCAAAGTTCTAAAGAGCTTGGGGAAACCTTGACAGCTGCTTGTAGAAGCTTAAAAAAAACAGTACTCAGCTGAGAAGTGGCATTGCCTGTTATTGTCTATGAACACAAAGTGGCAACCATCCCTATGATGAAAATCTTTGCATTGGAAAATAGTGTGAAACCAGATCAATTTCATACCTGAAATAACAGTGATGGCTGTATTAGGCTATGCATCCTTGTTGCCAGTTAGAGTTCCTATGGTTGAGCTATCGGATCCTGGCAAATAGTCAGAGGTGATCTGGAAACTAGGTGGCTGTGGATAGTAGCAGCTGTACAAGTACTTACCCTTCAAAAGAGGGAAACACTGCTTCTGTTCCCTTTCTCATGAGAAAGACCCTGCCCCACATTCCTAGAAAAATTAGGGATCCATTTTTGCATTAACTGTATGGGAATGAGAGGGGCTCAAGCTCCGCCCTTACAAAGGACTCATGGACCCACCTCCTCTGAGTAGTCCTAAGACTCTAGTCTCAGAAACATGGCACTAGTCCCATCTTCTAAGTATGTCTAGAATCTATCAGCAGCGTACTGAGATGGAGTCTAAGAACATTAAGTGTAAGCTGCATATTGGTGTAGTGGTTAACTGGGAGGACACGGTTTGATCCCCCACTCCTCCACTTGCAGCTGCTGGATGACCTTGGGCAAGCCATAGTTCTGACGAGAGCTGTCCTTGAAAGAATAGTTCTCTCAGAGGTCTCTCAGCCCCACCTACCTCACAGGGTGTCTGTTGTGGGGAGGGGACGGGAAAGGAGTTTGTAAGCCGCTTTGAGACTCCAAGTGAAGGGCGGGGTATAAATCCAATCTCCTCCTCCTCCTCCTCCAGCAGTTTGTGCAAAATGCCCTTCAACATTATGATCCCCAGAATCATGCCCATAATTTTATAGACATGGGAACAGAATGATGTAGATCCATCCTTTTCAATATATTTGAACTCTTCTCATACTGCTGGTGCTCTGCTAGAATCCTCTGATGTGACTGTGGGGGCAGAAGAACAGTTTTCTTGATTCCTCTGGGTGTTAATTTAGTTGTGACAGCTGTTCTACTGGGGTAACTGTTCATCAGTGCCATGGGGGACAAGGTCTAGAGGAGAACAGGATTCTACTAAGCAGGAGATTCTCCTTCCTTCCCTACCATGCAACCATCTCCAACTATTTATCCCCCTTTTACTATCATAGGTGTGACCAGGTAAGAACTTATGCTGAAGTAAACTTGTGATAGTCCTGCTATGCTGGTGTGACTTTACTACATCAGAGTGGCAGTACCATAGGGAATGCAGTAGTAAAAGTATCCTTGTCCAATGAGTGTAATTTGAAAATATGTTACATGACCACCTGGCAATGATGGCTCCAGTTTTTTTCGCCCACTAGGTGAGGATACATTCTGGTGCCCCCCCCCCCGTGTGGTCCGGGACGGGGGTGGGCGCCGGAGCCGCAGCGGGCGGGCTGAGGGGGCAAGATGCAAATGCATGCAGGGGGGCAGGATTGCTCAAGGGGAGGGGGCCTGTGCCAGGCTGCAAAAGGAGCTCCAAAGTGACCGCGGGGGTGGCAGAGGGCGAGAAGCACTTTCCCGTCGTCCCAGGCTGTTCCCCTCGCCTGTCCCCCCCTCCTGCTTCTCTTTCTGTCTGGGGGGCTGCAAAGAGGGCAGTCTCTTGCCGGGGACGAAGCAAAAAGCCAGCAAGGGAGGCTTCTTGTGCGGGGCGAGGAGGAGACGAGGCTGGCCAGAATGGCGCCCTCCTTGAGCCGTCGCCCTAGGTGACAGTTTAAAATTTAACAATAATGGGCCGGCTCTGCCGTCTGGGGATAATATATAAGAAGGAAGAGTAGGCTATAAATATTGTAAGCAAATAAAACTACTAGTGTGTATATGAACTTGATCTTGTCAGAATTCACTTGTAACAACTTCTTGGGGGGGAAACTTTACTAATTGGCTTCTAAAGTGGAAATGCAACATTGTGTAGAATAAGGAAAACTGTCTTTGAATGTTTACGAAGGATCCCCATTGTGATAATTCTTCTATACTTCCTATGCACCTCCAAGAGCCATAATAAAGTACCCAAGATTCTGTCTTCTACTGGATTATTATTAGCATTCTAAAATGTTTGTAATAAATATGCAGTCATACATTTGATATAACAACAAAATAAATGACAGTTCTAAAATAAGCCCTGTATGATTTCCTTTGTTTGTTACTATAATTTCTGTGCAAATGCAGAATGCAGCATGTGGCAAAACATTAAGAATTTTGAGGGTTGTAGTTTTCTTCTTCTAAAAATAAAATAAATAAAGTTTCTAGCCTTTATGCCTGCAGAAAAAAAACTTAAAGCTTTAGCAAATCTGGGCTGGGATGAGACTTCAGACTCCTTGTCTGTCTTAACATGAAACGGTTAACTCCACAGATGGATATTTGCTTTCTTTGCATAATTCACTTGGAAAACAGAATTTAAATTATCTGAGAAGTATACATTTGGGGAGGGAGACCCAAAACATATTTTGGCCTTTATAACAGATTTAGGGTTGCAGGGGAAATCTTACATGAGGAACATGGTGGTGGAAGGTGCTGTCAAGTCACAGTCAATTTATGGCTGCAACCTCATAGGGTTTTCAAGGGAAGAGATATTCAGGGATGGGTTGCCATTGCCTGCCTCTGCATAGCGACCCTGGGCTTCCTTGATGGTCTCCTATCCAAGTACAAACCACGGCCGACCCTGCTTAGCTTTTGAGAGGTGGCAAGATCAGGCTAGCCTGGGCTATCCAGGTCAGGGTATAAGGAACATAGCTGCACAGATTTACCTAGAACGATTTTTATTTCCAGATCTTCTGTCCCACTGTTGTTCTGTAAAGCTCTCTGTCACTTTTCAGTGAGCTCTCTTTTATGAACAGTGAAGCACCGAATTTTTGTGAAATTCAGGTTTTGATGAAAACATTGCCTTGGGAGGGGAGCGCTGAAGAGGTCACCAAAATAACTTTATCTTCCACACATTCTTTTGCACTAGTTTACAGCTGTTGTCCTCCTAATTGCTGTCTTTTCAGCACCCTTTCCTAATTTGAAAGGGATTCTGTAAACCTTGGGATCCTTTCCTGGGACCAAGCCCCATTGAATATCATGGGGTTTTAAGCGGGCCTGCCATAGTACCCTCTATTGAGTGCAACCAGTCAGGGACCATGGAGGAATCATGATGATTTTACAGCACCACAAATCCAACCATATTTAACAATGGGATTGTGTCATTACAGGCAACTGATGCCCCTGCATCCCCTCACTTGAAGGTGGAAGAGGGAGGAAAAATGTAATATGTCCCTCAGAGGGAGGCAGCCTGTCTTGCAATATTATGCTGGAAGTTTCATTGTCCACACTAAGTGCTGTGAGCCTAGGATCATATAGTGTCTGAATCCATATCCTATTGAAAGTATTGTGCTGTATGCAGAATTCCACCCACCGCTCAGTAAATACAACTGAAAGGAGCATTGGCTTAGTTGACTCAGCAACAGGGACACGTGTCCTCTTCCCTGACACCCATTCCCCTTGTGAACAATATTGCACAATATTGAAATGAGTGAAAAAAATACCATAATAACTGGGTATATTTTGTGGGATATTTAAAAAAAATGTGCACTGATGGACAGATTCTGTTAGCCTCTGCGGCCAAGACGTGTGAGACTCGTGTTCAGCAGAAAACATTGCCCATTATGGCTGCTGTCCTACAGAGTATTAGCACCACTGGCGCAATGGAACTGGTGTGCATTGACTTTTTATCTGTAGGATCTGATAGGTGGAATTATGGAAATAACTTTATCTGTTATGCACAAGCTTATCCCACCAGAGATCAGAAATCATGCACCTTAGTACTTTAGGAGGGGGGGGGGAATGGACTGCCATCAAGGTTTCTCTTGGACCAAGGGCCAGGTTCTGAGAGCCACCTGTTAAAAGAAGTACTGGGCCTGGCAGGGGACAAGAAGTCTTGTGTCTGGGGGCACATCCCCATTCGGACTCTGCCACAGTAGCAACCCCAGGCCCTTTGTTACCTAATGGGTCTGTCACCTTTTAA